TGGATTTTCCATGGCAAGAGGTTTGCTTTAAAACAGCTGATCCCACTATTTGCTGTAATGAAATAACACAAGTAATCTTATCTGGAATGGACGCATATATCCCACATACAACTAAACGTAGAGCTAATGCAAAACCTTGGTTCAACAGCCAGTGTCAAACGGCTGTACAGAAAAAACACAGAGCATATAACCTTTGGAAACGACAACAAACCGCTCAAAACCACACAGAATTTATAGAAACCAGAAATAGTTGCAAAATTACTATTGACTCCGCTAAAGAAACATACAATCAAAGAATAAAAAACAGGTTGCTGAATTGTCCAAGTAGTTCTAGGTCTTTTTGGTCTCTTGCAAAAGCTGTTGGATCTAACTTCACCAAGTCATCCATACCACCACTTACAGATAAAAATAATCACTTAGCCACAACATCAGAGGAAAAAGCCAATATGCTTGCCCAAATGTTTTCCTCCAACTCCAACCTAACAGTGCCAAACGGAAAAACTCCACCGTTCATTGAAAGGGTTTCCCATAGTATGCCAGAGGTACCCTTTTGTCACAGAGAAATACGAAAATCCCTTAAAAAGCTAGATACAAGCAAAGCAATGGGTCCGGATGGCATTCCCGCAATAGTACTCAAAAATTGCGCCAACGAACTCACCCCAACTTTCGCAAAATTATTCAATTTGTCTTACAGGCAAGGAGTATATCCATCATCATGGAAGTCTGCCGCAGTACAACCCATTCCAAAGAAAGGAAAAAAGACAGATCCGTTAAACTATAGACCAATTGCTCTACTTCCGGTGATATCAAAAGTAATGGAAAGAGTTGTGAACAATCATCTAACCAAGTACTTGGAAAAGTACAAAATTATCAACGATAAGCAATACGGATTTCGAAAATATAGGTCAACTGGCGATTTACTTACATACGTCACTCACTTATGGCAAAAAGCGATTGAGTTGCGGGGTGAAACAAGAACAATTGCCTTAGATATATCTAAAGCATTCGACAAAGTTTGGCATGAAAATCTGCTCAACAAGCTCAAAGCAATGGGATTATCGCCGAAACTTTGCACTTGGTTTGAAAGTTACCTAAAGGACAGATCCATTTATGTTGCACTGGATGGCCAGAACTCCAACTCTTACCAAATAAATGCTGGTGTGCCACAGGGAGCAATCCTTTCGCCAACTCTTTTTCTGATTTACATAAATGACCTCATAGATAAAACAATAAATCCACTTTATTGCTTTGCAGACGATGGCAATGTAGTCTCCTCACTCATACCACCCACAGGTCTTTCCGCACGTGAATTCCATCATCTTAGACTAACTCAAATATCGCAGATAAATAACGACCTGGAGATAATAGAGGACTGGGGTAACAAAAACCTTGTACAGTTCAACGCACAGAAAACCCAAGCAGCTCTGTTTTCAAAAAAGAACAGCACCGGTGAGCCAAACATCATGCTATCTGGAAGTGCTGTCATATTACAGAGTCAGTTGAACATCTTGGGGGTTACTGCAGAGACCAACATGTCTTGGCACAATCACGTGGCAGATATTGCTAAAAGGGCGTCCCAAAAGCTGGGGGTGCTATTTCGTACAAGACACCTGTACACACCAAGCCAATTGCTGACACTCTACAAAGCCCAGATTCGACCAACTATGGAGTACTGCTCACATATATGGAGTGCAGCACCCAAACATACCTTAATGCTTTTGAACACCGTGCAAAAACGAGCTATCAAGCTGATCAATGACCCCGCACTTACTCGTAACTTGGATGGTCTCGAACATCGCAGATCTGTGGGCGATTTATCTCTCTTCTACAGGTACTATCACGGAAAATGCTCTGAAGAGTTGGCACGTATGATTCCACCGAGAGTAGCGCCTACCAGGCGAACCCGTCAAACAGACGGTAACCATGAATTTACTGTCAAACTAGAGGCACCAAGAACCTCCTTATATCAGAATTCATATCTCTGGAGAACAGCATCGCTGTGGAATAAACTCCCTGCGACGGTTTTCCCTGCAGGTTACAACCTGAACCGTTTCAAGACCAACATACACCGACATTTCCGCGCACTTGCCGCTTCTCGAGCGTGATAGGACATTTCCTTGCGAGTGCGCATATCCGTAAAAAAAAAAAAAAAAAAAAAAAAAAAACAAAATTAATTGACCATTCTGACAGCTGGAGGACAAAGTGAGGTTAGGTTAGAACAAGTCTTGTCCAAATCAGCTGTCAAAATGACCGATTTGAAGATTGAAGTATGTTGTCAACTTGCCGAATTTCTTATTGGCTCTTAAATAGTGGCGTAATGAGATTGGAATATTTTCATTGGTTGAAAACAATTATAATACAAAAAACTCGCTATATGAGTAATAACTCACATTGATCAATAGAAAATGGATATGTATTACGCATATCATTCAATACTCATAGGGAAACATGAAACATGTTTACTGCAATAAGATTTCTCGAATAATCGTGCTAGACGTAAACAATTCGATTTCTAGAATCCGGCCGCTGTTTTCGATGCAATTACATAGCAATATTTATTCTGGAAAACAAAACTAAACCCTAAATTAGAAAAAAAAATATTGATGCGTAACTCAGTGCAAATTGGAAAATTTATACCATAAACAACAAATAAGAATGTAATTTTTTTCATTGGAGCTAAATCTGGCACGATAATCCTACGCTCATTCCACTTTCCCTGCAGTGTGACATTTTATCCACGATTCTCCGACTTACGATTTTTAAAAGCCTCCTTCGCAAAACAATGAATTATTTTGCAAACCTAAGGCTGAGGTTGGATCACTTCACAGCCCTTAACGCCAGTAGCTGTTTAGTGTTTTTAAAGTTTTAAATTTTTTTGTGACACTCAGTCGCTAGTGGCAATAACACATTCATAGCTAATTCCAAAGTGTCACGAACACCTATGTAGAGGGCTATAATCGAGAATTGTAGAGACTACAATGAATCACATTCAGTGTATTGCTATTGGTATATTATTACTCACATATCAGATTTAGAGCTCTACTTTTTTTAAAATATTTACTTACACAACCAAGAAAAAATAATAAAAATAGTAGGTATTTTTTTCTGAGAGATAAGTACCTAGTTAAGTTCTATTTTTTGTACCTACCTGGACATCATATCCATATTAATTAGGTATTTGAATTTATTTAACCAGCAAATAGTATTTTATCCCAAGATAAACTTTTACAGCGCTTTTATGCGGCCTTTCAGTTCGACGTAGTAGATCATAAAATTTCGGAATTTTCTTATTTCCCGCTTGGATCGATCTTACCCCCAAAACGCAAGCTTCCTATAGCAACATCTTTGTTTTCTAACGGGTTCAAGCCATTTTCCTATTTTAGCTTTCGTTAAAGTAGTTTCAATGTTTTTTTATTACCGCAGTCGTAAAGTTTGAAGTAGGTATAGTATGTCCCAGATATTATTATTTTTTGCCTCTCCTGCTAAAACAACTAAGTAGGTATATGTCCTATATAAACTTAGAATGTACTGAGTGTATTTTTAGATGTGCACAAAGTTTTACCTGTATGATATCAAATATTCGCCACTTCTAGAATAATAGTAGATAGATTGTACAAAATGCACTTTTGCGAACACGGCAGCTGCTTTTAGCTAATCCGAATTTATTGTGCTTTGAAATTATTAGCCTTCAAAATTATTTTGGCACACACCAGTGTGTGTACTAGAAAGATAAATTGCCATTCCGGAAGTATTAATAAAATATTTCATCCTTAAACGGTTGCTTTCCTCAAAGCAAGATAGCAGATTTTTTTCATGTCTGAACAATGAACGTGTGTACGGTCGCTCCTAAATCATACATAGCGTAGTTAGAGTGTCCAAGAAGTTCCCAATTTTGTATAGAAGTTACAACGGCCTGCCTTGGGCGAATTAGTTATCAGACAAATACACCCAGGATGCCATAGTTCAGCGAATCGAAATGAACGGGAACGAGTCATCTAGGCACCGTAATCTAGGTACCTAGTTCTAAAACAATATCGCACTATAAAACATAAGGAGTCGACAATCTTAGGTAATGATGATGAGAAAATTGAAAATTGGCATAGAGCAATGAATGAGAATTAAAATAAATTCTGAAAAATTCCAATTAGTTTTAAATTAACATGAAGAAGTGAACTTGAAGAGGTTGGTACATTACCTACTATTGTCATGGACTTCGGTTCCACCAACACTCTCTTTACAAATAATTACAAGTTTCATTAGACTAATTTCTAAATTGGAAACTACGCGAAAAAATTGCGTGTTCGTTTATTCTTCTTTTACATTTCACTTATTGACTTGTTACATAAAAACAGCCCACTTCCAACTTTCTCAAGTTACTGTCGAAAAACCTCTCGAACACCAAATCAGAGCAAGAGATAGGAAAAATTAGTGTTTCTGTACTTTATTAACTATTTGAGAATGAGAAGGAGCGGGTATACAATTTTTGTATTTTTTTGACCTGGGACAAGAAATTAACTTACTGTGCGTCAAAACTCACGAGAGACGAGAGAAAACGAGACGAGGCAAGAGAAGAACTATCTCGTCTCGTATCAAGGGTCTCTGGTCAAGACGAGAGACTCATTTTCTCTCGAACCTTCGAGACAAGAGAGAGAGCGTGTTCTCGTCTCGTCTCGCGGCATCACTATTCCGAATAGTTGCCCAATTTCTCTCAACAACCTAGTCATAGTCGATAAACAAAAAGTATTACTAATCTGAGTGAAACTTCAAGTTCAATGCTACCATCAAACTTAGACCTAAAGCTCGACTCGACGAACTAAAAAAAATAAAAAGCAAGATCAACACTAAGAAATTCGACTTTGGATGTCGACAAGATTACCAAGTTTCCATCCATTCGGACCTGCTACTCTATTTTCTGCTAATAAATGGCGGCTGCGCCATTATGTGTTACAAAAAAGTTTTCTCAAGACCCAGTCTCCAAAGAAAACAAGAACACGAAGCCAAAAATTTTATTTCAAAACAATTTACAAAAAAGAAAGTCGTGACTCATCTGTTATATTCTGCAGAAATACCTAATGCCCGATCTATTTCTTCTTCTAGTCACAACATTGCAGTCAATCATTAATTGAGAATTCACATAAAACACGTAATAAAGTCTATACAAAATAAATAATAATCGCAAATAGTAACACAAAATATGAACACACTGTCTCCAAGATATAGTAAATAATTTCCGTTAATATAAAAATAATATGCATATAAAGATTCAGTAATAAGAACATTCATATCCGATAAATATTTTTGTACTAAACTAAACTTTTTGTTTTAGGATATGAAAATTTTAGTTTTTTGTTGATAATTTGTTCCTCCACTTTTTCTTCTAAACTAGTGCTTGTCTCCCTTCCTGTATACCAACTTATATACCTTAAACCTATAATTTAAATATTTATGATAATATTCAACTCCAAAGATATATCTCTCCTTGCACATAAAGGGGGTTCGTCCTCTGGGTGCAATATAAAAAAATAACTATAAATTATATTTTTTCAAATAAACTTGTATAAATGTATGTAATATACGTATGATTATATTATTATTGAATAAGAAATGTCAAGATTTCAAGGAACGTACAGCACGAGGTGGTATTTTAATTAAAACATCTCAAAGAGACAGACAAAACAAGGAGATACATAACGTAATTTTACTGAAAAATTCAGGTCAGTTTCATATACAATTATTGTCTTAAGCTTTTTTCGTTTTCCACCAAAGACAAACGTAACCAAGTAAATGGAAGGCGATTAGTAAAAAAAACATGTTCCAAATGTCGCAGCTGAGATTATCTTCGGAAAAACTGTATTTGTCCAAGACTGATGTGCCATCGGTTAAGCACGGCAAATTGACGTCTTGCCGATTGTCGCAGGCTGAAAAAAATGTCTTCAGTTTAGATCATCTATTATGGACAAATTAAGACTGAATTTCACCTATCTGAGTAATCCCTTGCCACTGAAGAATACTAATGGATTCTGTGGAGTACATTAGCCAGGATAAATATCTTGTCCAACCAACAACAATTGGAATAGTCCTTGAATAATTTTTCATTTAAAAAAAGTAATTATTATGACACTTATCAAAGACTTAAATGCTACAATAATTCAAATACGCTGAGCAGTCTGAGAGGCAGCAATCCATCCGATTAAAGTAGGTATAAGCATAGAATATAAGGCACAAGGCTGAGAATTTTTTTATTGTCAATAATTAATACCATTGAAATAAGGTTATTAAAATCTGGCGGTTGCGCCATCAACCCCTATGTTTTCAAAAAAAAAAAAAAAAAAATTAAAATCAACAAACTTCTATAAAGCTGTAATTTCAATGATTCAATCAACATATTGTTGCGAAATTACATTGATGCCGGAAAGCTGTCGAAATTGTTTACAAACCGAGCGCGAGTTTTCCGGAATTGCATTGAAGGTATATTGAAATAAACAAGTATTCACATGTGTACAGAGATTTCCAGAATTGAAAGATTTTGTATATAAAGCGCGCGTAGTTTGTAAGTTGAGACAGTTTAAATAAAGGAAATGTTGTTCAAAGTTAAGTAAAAGCGGTAAGTGATTCGTGCGTTCCAGCACATTGAAAACCGTCCCGTGACGGTTTCGAATCCACTCTGTAATACTCTGTATATCTGAAAAAATTGGCGACAGGACTTGTCGATTAAAATTGTGAGGGGAGATACTTAGCGAGATAATCAGTAGATTGATGTGAGGTAGTTAGTACCAAAGTTTGTTGAATGGTTGTGACATCGAAAAATAACTCCACAGTGTGACTTTTCTAGAACATTCCATCTTTTTTATTTGACAGTTAGATGAGGTGGATCCGAGAATTTTGACTTCGCCATCGAATTTTAAAATTAAAGTTTCAACAGTCATACAGAGTATTCTATGGAAAATACTTGACAGCAAACATCCGAAATGAAGCTAGTCAGTCATAGGTTGGTGGACTTAATGAAAAATATCAAAGACAAGAGGCAAGGGGAACCGGACCGGCTTTGTTGCACTTTTACAACACAAAGACCGAAGACAGGTAAGAAGCGGAAGCTCGGATACGAGAAGAAGGGCAAGAAAAAGAATCCTCACCAAGAACAGGACCGGCGTGTAACACTTTAACAACAACAAGGGGATCGGAGATGAAAAGATAAGCAAAAAGAGGATAGAAAGACAAGTAGAGGAAGCCCGAAGACATGTAAAACAGAGCCGCCTTCCGGAAAATTCTAATGGACGAAGTGCATGACAAAGTTGAGAGTGATCGTCAGGAATTTGGAACGTTTCGTCAGGAAGTTGGAACTTTCCGTAAAAAATGGAAAGTGTTGTCAAACCAAAATTATAAAGTTAGAGAAAATGCTTCAGCTTCATCTGCATCTGCTATTAAAGGTGAACCATCATCATACGACAGTCGAACATCGTGGGAGATGTACAGGCATCAGTTCAACACTGGTTTCATTGCCTGATGGTTGGACCTAACTTGATATGGCTATCGGCTTTATTGTACCATTGCGTGACGCTGCCTTACACCTATTAGAAACTCTTCTGTCAGCTTCCCAACAAAACTACGGCGGTGCGCTTGTTGATAGTTAAAGCGTCGTTATGGGGATCAACACCGATGGCAGACTTCACCGGGTATAGCTTAGTACAAGACAACAGGAAGCTGTAGAGATTTTACGAGAATTTGGAACCGTTATCAGCTGTCTGGTTAACTTGGCCTACCTGGAAGGAACAGCATAAATGCTAGAACAATTAGCTGCTCATAACCACATGAAAGGGCTTTGAGCCCTAGAAATCGGACAGGCCAAGAATCAAGATATCCGAACCACAGATCAGAAGTGTGTCGATGCAAGAAACAAAAGAACTAATGGGAGCACTCAAAGGCACAGTACAGGAACTACCTACTGGAAGAAATACCTGAAGTACTTTTTAAGCGTGAGAAGAGTACCGCTGAGACTCTCAGTCCTCAATGGGAAACATGAGACGGGGCACCGAACGTGGCTGTAGAGTACAGCTGAGATCTCGCTCTCCTTCAGGCGACCAGCTTCCAAAGAAAAGTTACAATAGCAGGATTTTCAAATCAAACATTGTGCTAGTAAACTGCATGATAGCGCAGATACCTTATCCAGGCAACCACATTTAATTCAATGCAAACAGAATTTATCAGCGTGAAAGAGCTCCTGTTAGAAACTTTCGATTTGAAACGGATCAAGAACGGAAACTTTCTCAAAATGAAATTGAGTCCCAAACAGCTTAGAAGTGATGAATTTGAAGATTGTGATATTAAGCAATTTTTGAACCTAGAGGAAACCGACAAAACATCGCCAACAAACTTCATAGAAAAGAAATCCGGCGAACGAAGGAACAAAAACAAGAAACTTGGCGAATTACGACTGCTGATCCAACGAGGTCAATATAATCCTTCAAACAGATGCTGTACAGATTCCTATGATCAGGAATACCACAAGAGCTACGTCTGTTTTCGCAGGCGCAGAAAAAGCGGTTGGCAATCAACAGGGAACGGGTGGTCTTTTTTCTAGGCAATAATACATGAAATCATTATGGATCTAAGTGGAGGAATAGACGTAAAAGAGGTGGTGCATCTTAGCAAGGTAATGAAGGCTTATCACGATGATAAATGGGCAGATCGGGACGATCTCATTTGAAAGGAAGGCAGTGTTGCGAAAATGTATCGTCGTCGAAAGGACGGCGAGATTTTTTGACGTCTGATGGAGCGCGAGTTTTCAGGAATTCGATTGTATTTAGGTAAACAAGCATTGACAAGTTCTAGAGAAGTCTCGAATTGAAGGTTTTTGTATGTGCGGTGCGTATAGTATTTCAGTCAGGAAGTCAGTATAAATAAGATAATTGTTGTATAAACATAAACTTAAATAAAAGCGATCAGTGAATTTTTCAAAGTCAAATTAGTTCAATAAAAGCTGTTAGAAAAGTCACTTTTAGTGGACCCGCAGAATCCGTGACAGTATGTCTCATTCCCTCTCCTAACTTATTCTGGAAATTATAAGGATTGCTTACGAAGCGTTTTCCACTCTAGCTTCGTGAGACGAAAACTAAAATGTACTAACCCTCTTTTAATGAACAATCCCGATGTGACCATAAGTATGGTGTCGAATGGTACTAAGTATGCCATAGCATTTGGCACTGACTGGAATGCGTTTGAAAACATGATTCCTGAAAAATAATTATTTATATAAACAAATTGAAATTGCCGAAAAAAATCTCTTTACCGCAAGCCGCTGACACATTTGTAGTTAAAATAATAACCAAGACAGTCATGAGAAAAGCATACGAAGTTTCACGAAGTCCTACCATCCAATAGGCAATCATCACAAAAACAACTGATTCAATAATGAATCCTGGGAACTATAAATAAATAGATATAGTTATTCACATTCCAAGCTGCGAAAGCGTACTTTTAGGTGCGAGGTGTGCAGCCGAGGCTATTTGAATACCTCCGAGCACCTAAAAGGGCTTTTGCAGCGTGTAATGTATTAAACTTTACATTCTTCCCCTTCAAAAATCGTGAATAGGCATGGGAAAGTGAAACATGCTAGTAGCGAAAGTGAAAGTTACTACTAGCATGTTTCACTTCCGCTTTCGCTCGCCTATGCAAGATAAAAAAAGTCTACTTTCGTAGGGGGGAGAATGAAAAAAACATTTGCATTATTAATATTCTATTCATTACCAGAGCCACAATCCTAGACAAATAATACGTAGCAGGATGGTATAAACCGCTCCTATATTCTCTAAGAAATATCGGAGTGTTTTCTGGAAACTCTGCTAATACAGAGTACATTGGGTTGAAAGTATTTTCAACTACAAAAATAACTATTGCGCCCTCGACAGCTTGTACGCCGTTTTGAGTGAAGGCATTTGTACGTAGGTAACATAGTCCAATCAGTATAGCGATGGCCTAAAAATAGAGTTCTTGGGATATGATTTAAGATTGAGAAAAACAAGAAACTCAACGTCACATTCTCAGTCTTGTGTGATTTGAGGTTCTTGTTTTCATCAATTTTATCACATCAAGTCCCTTGAGAGATATAATTTAGTTTACTTACAATTCTTTGTAATATTCTCAAAGTTTGAACTGAAGGATTTCTCAAAGCATCTTTTGACCATCGATAAGTTAACCAGTACAGTTTTTGCCACCAAAATGGAGCTTTGCTGAAAATTTTATTTATTTACAATGCAAATCACCGATCTCAATGAATCTACTCACAAATTGGTTCTTAGTTCAAACTGTCTTGCCTGTAAGAACATGGTAATTTTAAATGAAAATCCTATTAATATTGTATGTTCAAAAATACCTCTGCTCTTCCCATGTGGAATTCATATTGTACAACAACATCAACTTCTTTAGCATAATCGCTAACAGAAAAATGATCACAAATTCTTTTTACCGCCATTTTACTGTTACTTTCATGCCCTGGCATAGTAGCTAACGTTTTTATGAAAAAGTCTGCAGGGCTGTAGGAAGATGGGCATATGAAACCTAGACTAAACAGAAAAAATGTTCCGCATGAAATATTTTCACTTAATGAGGGCCAAATTCGTAGTCATTCCTTTAAATTTCTTTGACCAAGCTAATTATTTTTAGTTTTGAAATTCCCGAAACTAAATAGATGGAAATAGGTACTTCTGATATTGAACCTCTCAATACAGGAACACTTAGAAAACAATCCAAAAGCAGTGTGAGCAGTTATTATAGCAATTTGATTAATTTTGAGTAATAGGAGCTCATCAGAATATATTGTTACGGCTCCGGGAGCCCGGCCGGATTCTAAGAAATGCAATTGTCTGCGCGTTACGTAAAAAGGAGAAAAAAAAATGACAACACCGCCATTTACTATGTAATGACGTCACGTTTGAATTTTTTAGATTTAATTTGCAAATATACCAAAAACTCATCGTTTTGGGAAAAAGTTAAAAAGTTGCTATAATTTTTTTACACACCGGATTCGAAAAAAATATATATATAATCCAAAAATGTGCAAGTACCCTAATATAGAATAAAATGATAAATAAAATTGTGGAAGTAGGTACCTGATCAGAATAAGAATAGCAATTTTAAATAACGCTAAAGATATATATGGCTTATAGGTTTGTGAAAAACTAAAAAATGTGCTGAGCTGAAAACTTCTTCTGTAATGAGAAGAATGAGCTAGGAATTCCAACCAAAACAAGCCCCAAGCAGGTAGCTTTAGAACAACGTTGAAGCATTTTTAAGCTACTTATTTTTCTACAATATTTCTTAATCAAAAAGTCCAAAACAATAACTATGAATTTGACCCTAAACGTCGTCTCACGTTTCAAAAAACTCTGTTGCTCTTGCCCTTCCACCCATGTAAGCAATTCTTCCATCAGCTACCAAAATCAATTGAGTGAACATCTCAAAAATCTCAGACGATGGTTGATGTATGGTGCAAAGAATAGTTTTACCAGCCATGGACATTCGACTCATCATGCGTACTAACTTTTGAGCTGAGAATGAGTCTAAGCCGGTTGTTGGTTCATCGCAGAATAGTATTGGTGGATCAGTGAGAAGCTGAAATAATACTTTTGGATGAAATTATAAATACCCAAAGAACTTTTGTACTAAAGAAAAAATATATGTAGATATTATATTTCCCGAACCCTGTAAGCGTGAACAACTGATAGGAAACGTTTTTCTTTCGATAAAACTTCCATAATAAAAGTTATATTATGTTTTTCTACCAGCACTCAGATCAATTTGTCTCGTAATTCATCAGTCATATAGGCACTTGGCAGAAATTTATCACCTCCAAAGCCCAAAGCCGAGACAAGGGATCTAGCTTTTATCAATATCCTTTTTTTTATGTGCTTTTCAACACAGATAGGATTTTTTTATATCTGGTACACTTTTATGAAAAGACTTGTGAACGACGCGCCACACTTTTGAAAATAGACTTGGATGATACTTAAATAACGTAATTTAGACTGTAATCGGTTTTCGCAAGTGGCATTTTTGAGGATGCTTGAGAAAGTTTACTTAAGACCTACCAAATAGGTTCGAATAAACTTCACATTATGGCTTGCTAGACAATTCAAACGGACCGAGCGCATTTTTACCTTAACTCTGGAGACAAATATTTCAAAAACGAGAAAAGATACCAAAATGCACATTCGAGGATTTTGTAAATAATTTAATTCTGAACCCGTAACTTTTTGTCTTATGTTGCTTATGTTTTTTAACCAAACTTCATAACTATTTACAGGGTTTCTATACAAACAAATTGTAAGATTTTTTTGAACTTATTCATCAGGAGAAAACTAATGCCTCATGATACTTTTGATTTAAATTATTACCTTCATATTTGGTAACTTACTTCTGTTGCAAATGCAAGTCTTTTCTTTTCACCTCCAGATAAACCTTTACTTTGTCCAATGGCTCCTATACGAGTATTTAAACATTTTGTTAATCCTAATTGATTCAAAATTGTTTTTATTTTATTGCTTTTTTCTTCTCTGTTTACAGATCTGTCCAACTTCAAATTGGCCTAAAAGGGTTTAATTAAATTTTTATATTCGCTGCTTTTAAAAGATTGCAAAAATCCCGACGAAAAAGTATATTATTAAGTGTAATAATTTTTGATAATAGATATTACATGCAACATTTGGCCAGATTCGCCATGCGGAAAACGAAAAACTTATGAAGCTTTTGTGTGAAAAGGCATTGCAGCTCTTCGCCTTTTATAATACAAAACCCAGAACCTCATTTAGCAAAAAATTTATACCATAACATTCATGTGCTCCAGAACTGTCAGAGATCCAACAAATAAGTCTTCTTGTGGCATATATCCGCTCACGTATTTCATATAACTTCCTATTGGTCGGCCATTTATTAATATATCGCCATCAACATGCATTTCTCCTAAATATTAATTTTGAAAAATGTATTATGTTTTTTTTTTTTTATAATTGATATTCTTACCTGTTTGTCTATACCCTAGAGCTGCCATCAGTGTACTTTTTCCAGCTCCACTTTACATACAGATTTGAAAAAAAAAGTTTATGTCAGTAATTGAATGAGTAGGTACTTTATAATCGTATTTGTACAGGTTGATCCATTATAATAAGTGCCAAATGGAAAAGTTATACAGTGTCCGCGGAAAAGTCTGTTCATCCTTACTTCAAATCGGTTTTCGGTATTAGGTTCTGCATGACTGAAAACCAAAAAAACACTTGAAATTTTTGATTCGAGACTTGCCTCACACCTGTCAAATGCCATTTGAAAATTTCAAACAAGGAAAAGTGGCATTTTTATAACAAATATGAAATTTTTTTATAAGAAAATATTGTTCCAAATGACATTTAGAGTCTAATTTGATATTTTTGCTTTGAAACAAATATATATATTTTTTTAAATTTTTTGGAATATCTACGGAAAAATAATATTTTTAGGATTTCTTTCGCGACCATTCCTCTAAAATAATTAGTTTGTATCTGAACAATGGTTTTTTTAAATCTCAATAATCTAATTTAGAGTTTGAACATCAAAAATATTTCTATTAAAATTTTGATACGCCTCTGGACTATTTTAAAAATTTTAGATTTCTCAAATTGAAATTTCAAAGCAAAAATATCAAATTAGACTCTAAATGTCATTTGGAATAATATTTTCTTATAAAATTTTTTCATATTTTTCATAAAAATGCCTTGTTTGAAATTTTCAAATGGCATTTGACAGGTGTGAGGCAAATCTCGAATCAAAAATTTTGGGTGATTTTTTGGTTTTCAGTCATGCAGAACCTAATGCCGAAAACCGATTTGAAGTAAGAATGAGCATAAAAAAATTTCCCATATGGTGCAGACTTTTCCGCGGACACTGTAGAATGAAGTTAATTTCATTTTCAATTTCAGAAAAGTATGGGTCGCAATGCAAAGTTATCTTCTATAAAATGAAAACATTAAGCAACCGATCCATTATACATGCAGTTAATGGACCTCTTTATCCGGAATCTGGAAATATCAGGGTTAATAAGTTTACCTTTAATAGTTATAAGGAAATAACGACTTTGATTTTTCAATAATATCACGAATTCCGGATTCACTAAAGCTCACTTCACAAACACTAAAAACCTTTAATTAAACTAATCGACTTTATACAAAGTTCACTTGTCAATTATCGAAACATATATGACAAATATCGACTTAAAACTGACTTATTTAAGCATCTACTTTGCATGCGCTATTTATGGCAGATTGTTGTGTACTCGGGATTTATCTAGAAAAACCTGGCGCCCTACTTGAATAGAGTTCTCCAAATTGTTTACGCGGCACGCAGACAATTGTAGGTATTTCTTAGAATCTGGCCGGGCTCTCGAGGCAATTTCGTAACAATACTAAACCCAAATCCTTGTTGGAAAAAATAATAGGTGTTTCTGAAAATGTACATTTAATTTAGTACCTATACTTGCACAGTTCCTCCTCATTTAGTTTTATCATACCTAATACCTATTGGTCTTTATGGAAATATTGATCCTGTGTTGCTGGTTGCTGTAATTAATAAAAATACACTTGATAAAGCTTATAGATCACAGATACATCAAATTTGAAATTTCAGGGAAAAACACTTCAATAAATTATCGAAACCCTCGAAATACAGACTGGGACTCATACAAAGCTGACCTGGAGTATAGTCTGCCGAACATCAGGAAGACAATAAGAGACACTGAAGACTTGGAGATGGGTGTGTATCAATTCAATGATGCAATCATCTCAGCTTTCAATGAATATTGCCCACACACAACAAGGACATCTACCAGGAAAGTGCTCTGGTGGAACGAGAGCCTTCCAAAGTTAAGGAAAAAAACTAGAACAGAATTCAATAAACCCATGAGAACCGGGCAGTGGGAAAAGAGGTCTTGGAGGAAGTACTGTGAGGACATAGAAAGTACTAAAGATTGTGCGAGACTTCAGAGAACTCTGTCAAAGAGCTAGAAGACAACAATCAAATCACGCAAGAACAACCTTGGTGAATACACAAAGGCGGGGGAAGAGGCGGCTAGGAAACTCCTAAGAACCCAATTTCCCGGCTCAAAGATTTTTGATCAGACTCAGTGGACATGAAATGAGCCTAGACTTCGAAGAGCATCCAGGAACGACTGGCTGACCTCGAAGAAAGTAGTCAACTATGAAAAAGTCAAATGGGCTATAAACACCTTTGACCCATTTAAGTCAACAGGGACAGATGGGATCTATCCCATAATGTTACAGAACGGAATTGAACTTACAAACAGGATACTTTGTAACATTCTAAAAAGTAGCCTAGCCTTTGGCTACATACCAAAGGCCTGGAGGCGCATTAGGGTATCGTTCATACCATAACCTGGAAAAATAGGATAGGACACGGCGAAGTCCTTAAGACCCATCAGTCTTAGATCATTTGAGCTTAAGTCACTGGAAAATCTTGGGGTTATGCACATTAGGGACGGTATTTTGGCAAACAGACCACTACACGCAGACCAATATGCGTA